CCCCTGGATAGGTTTGAGCCCTCCTAGGACAGGTTTGAGACCCCCTAGCATGGGTTTAACCGTCCCCAGCACAGGTTTAAGCCCCTCTATCACTGATTTAAGCTTCCCCAGCATGTGTTTAAGCCCACCTAGCACAGGTTTGAGCTTACCTTAAAGCAAGGCTTTGTTTGGGGTGGGAACATGGAGGGGGCTGGTGGCACTGGGAACACTGAGGGGATTGATGGGACTGGGAACACTGAGGGAATGATGGAACTGGGAACATGGAGGGGATTGATGGGACTGGGATTGATGGGACTGGGAACACTGAGGGGATTGATGGGACTGGGAACACTGAGGGAATGATGGGACTGGGAACATGGAGGGGATTGATGGGACTGGGAATGATGGGATTGGGAACACTGAGGGGATTGATGGGACTGGGAACATGGAGGGTCTGGTGGCACTGGGAATATGAAGGATCTGGTGACACTGGCAATCACGGGGAAGGACAGCCATGCTGACAGTGGGGAATTCCCTTATCCTCACTCCTGTCACCTCAAGGGGACAGGGAACAGGCCTGTGTTTTGGATTTGGTTCCCAACAGTGGAAGCCAGCTCTCAGATGCAGTTTCATCTGTCCTGAAGGAATCTGTCCTGGTTTTTGGATGCTGCCAGTTTCTGAGGAGCAGCCCCTCCATTCCCATGTGCTGCAGCAGCTGGGTGGTTTAAAAGAGCTGCTAATCCTGAACCATCCTCGTGTTTTCCCTGGGATGTTGAGCCCTGATGCTGCAAACAGGCTGGGTGACATCTCATCCCTGCTCTCTGATCCCTGCAGTGGGATTGTGCAGACCCAGACAGGGATGTACCCAGGGTGGGGGCCTGTCCCTCCAGGCATGTTAGAAGTGGTTGCACGGTCCCTCAAGCTCCCAGATCCTTCTCTGCCTTTGTGAGCTTTGTGCTGCCCAAGCTGGTGGCCATTCCTGACTGTTCCCAGCTTGTCCCTGTGCTCTCCACAGGCTCTGGCTCTGATTGAGCTCTACAACGCCCCCGAGGGCCGGTACAAGCAGGACGTTTACCTGCTGCCAAAGAAGATGGGTGAGTGAAGGAACTGACTTTCCCTGGGGAATCCATGTGCCAGCAGGGTCAGAAGAGCTCATACCTGGGCTGGGAAACGCTTCCAGAGGGACAGCAAGTTCAGGAAAGCCAGAGGCAATGACCTTAAAATCCGTGGGGGTTATTTGCTTTATCTTTGTTAGTGTTCTGCAGCGTGGGAGGCATCCCACATCCTGCAGCCTCCCTTCTCTGGGATTTTCCATCCCTCCTTGTGCCTTTAGGGGCACATCCAGCCCAGGCTTGGGCTCAGCCCTGCTTTGGGTGATAGGACAGGGAACACAGGATCAGGGAGTCCACATCCCACCACAACGTGGGCAGTGATGACTGCCCAGCCAGACCTTCCAGTCTCCCTGATCCTGTGTTCCCTATCCCATTCCCAGATGAGTTTGTGGCCAGTTTGCCCTCCTTGTGCCTTTAAGGGCACATCCAGCCCAGGCTTTGGGTGATGGTGAACCTGGGGTGCTGTCCAGCCAGAACCTCCAGTCATCACTGCCCATGTTGTGGTGGGGTGTGGACCCCCTGATCCCGTGTTCCCTGTCCCATTCCCAGATGAGTATGTGGCCAGTTTACCCTCCTTGTGCCCCTGTGGGCACATCCAACCCAGGCTTGGGCTCAGCCCTGCTTTGAGTGATGGCAAATCCAGGGTGCTGCTCATCCAGACCTTCCAGTCATCACTGCCCATGTTGTGGTGGGGTGTGGACCCCCTGATCCCCTGTTCCCTGTCCCATTCCCAGATGAGTATGTGGCCAGTTTGCACCTGCCCTCGTTCGACGCCCACCTGACGGAGCTGACGGACGATCAGGCCAAATACCTGGGACTCAACAAAAATGGGCCTTTCAAACCCAACTACTACAGGTGAGAGCTGCTGGGGCAGGATCTCCCAGCTCCCTGTTGGTTTGGAGTTCTATCTCTAGCTCTGGAGTCACCAACAGCAGAAGGATGTGGAGCTGCTGGAGCGTGGCCCTGGAGATGCTTTGAGGGCTGGAGCCCCTCTGGGTGGGTTGGAAGGCTCCCAAGAGAGCTTAGAGTCGCTTCCAGTGCCTGAAGAGGGCAGGGTTGGATGGGATGTTGGGAAGGGATTCCTGGCTGTGAGTGTGGACAGGCCCTGGCACAGGGTGCCCAGAGCAGCTGTGGCTGCCCCTGATCCCTGGGAGTGTCCCAGGCCAGGCTGGACAGGGCTGGGAGCAAACTGGAACAGTGGAAAGTGTCCCTGCCAGCCCAAACCAGTCTGGAATCCCTCCCATGCCTGAGGGATTCCCTTGCCCTGGCACAGCAGCACCCCCCATGTCCCTCACTGTCCCTTCCTTCTCTCCTAGATACTGACGGGACCATTTCCATGAAGGACCAGACCACACAAGGCAACATTTGAGAGATTATTTTTAAAAAATCATTTTTATTTTGGTTTACCTTTTTTTTTTTTTTTTTTTTTGGTTAACCACCACCAGAACCTGTTTTTACATTTTATCTGTGATTTTAAGGTCAGGTTTTCTTTTCTCCCCCTTTTCCATGATCGCATCCCTGTCTGATCTTGCCAGACAACCTGGGATTTGCTTCTTGCTTTCATGTGGCTGAAGCTGCTGATTCCCAGCCCTGGCTCCAGGAGGGGCTTTCCCTTTCCTGCTGAGCCAAGGGCACTTCATTCCTGCAGCAATGGTTTCTTTTGGCTTTTATTTTGTATTTTTTCCCACCTTTCCAGCCCACGTCGGTCTCAGCCGGGCTCCCTGTGGATCCGGAGATGCTCTTCTACCTTATCTTCTATTTCTTTGTGTGGATTATCTGCAACTTCTAAATTGCCTTAAAGAGCCCAGTTTTAGCTGCTAGATCCCTGCTCCAGGTGTTCTCTGGGAGCAGAGTGGCCTGCAGGACACCTGGCAAAGGGGGTGACTGTGCCCAAGCCCAGGTCCCTGTGCTGAGGTGGCCCAGGTTTGGTGGCCACTGGCCTGGGTTTGGTGGCCACCTGGGTCCAGGGGAGTTCAGTGTTTCAGGGTGCTAATCTGAATCTGGATGGGGGTCGCTTTCCCAGCATTATCCTCATCTCTCTTAGGTTTTTTTTTTTGTTTTGGTTTTTTTTTTTTTTTTTTTTTAGCCAAACTGCACCTTAATTGAGTTTTAAACATTTTTTTCCGTTTGTTTATTTGCTTTTTTTTTTTCTTCCTCTTTTCCTTTTTGATCCTTACAGAGATGTTTTAGAGGGTGGAGATTGTTATTAGATGTTTTAAAAAGGAAGCATTGGGGACATGGCCGCCTTCCCATCTCCCACTGGGAAGTGCTGGGTGGTGTTGAGGGTGTCTGGGTGGGTTTTGGGGCTGTTTCACTATTTTTTTTTTGAGCTGGATGCAGAGATGAGCCTTCCCCATAGCCCAGCCCCTCTGCTCCCTGTCACTGTTATCCTCCCCCTCTCCTGGTGTGTCCTGGATGCTCCCATCACCTCCTCCGTGCCCTCCCTGCTGACATTTCCCTTTCCCAGCTTCTGCTGGGGTGTGGGCAGCTCCTTCCAACCCACTGAGGTTCCTCTGGCTCCTGTTCCTTTCCCCACCCAGGGGAGGGCAGGAGCTGCTGGCACCTCCTGGATGGTGGAGCTGCTCCTTCCCCCCTTTGCAGGGATCCACCTGGACGGCTCCTTCCCAGGGAATTTGCAGGTTTTGGGGTGTGCAGAACTCCTTGGGGTGCCAGGGGATGGGAGAGGTGCTGAGATCATCCCCCTGCACATCCTCTGACTGTTCCTCTCTCCCACCCTGCCTGGTCTCCTCCTGGATAGATTTTGGGGATCACCTGCCTCGCTCTCCCACAGATCCCAGGGATCCCCTGGGTCCCTTCCACCATCCCCCAGACCTCCCTGGGGACAGCTTAGCGAGCTGGGATGGGCGTTTGTGGGAAGGATGGGGACATCCCCCCTTCCCTGTGAGCCCCCCACGCCCGGGGGTCCCCGTTCCCACCCATCCCGGGTGGAATCTCGGCCAAGGGCTCTGTGTCTGTATAAGCCATGCTGGGGGAGCCCGGGGGCGACGGCGGCGGCAGCGGCGGGGCCGGGAGCGAGAGGTTTATTTTGTATAGGAATGATTTTTAATGAATGCAATATTAATCCTTGCAGATGAGCAATAAATCATTAAAGTCTAATTAAACTATTAGGAAAAATGAAACGCTTGTGGTTGCAGGTGGTTTGTGTGGTCTCAAGGGCAGGGCTGGAATCTCCCTTTGGTCATCTTGGGGTTGGGATTGGGTGCTGCCAGAATTTTCTGAGTGTTGCCACAACTCTGGATTTTGGGGTCTCACCCTCTTTAAAGCCCAATGGGGCACCTTAGTTTGGGGTCTAAACCCTGTCAGGGTCTGACTCCCCTCTGAGGCCCCTCAGTTTGGGGTCTGAGCCCTCCCCGAGCCCCTTCACTGGAGCGTTCCTTTGTTCCAGGCTTCTCAGTTTAGGGTCTGAGCCTCAGCCCCTTCACTGGAGCATTCTTTTGTTCCAGGCCCCTCAGTTTAGGGTCTGAGCCCCTCAGCCCCTTCACTGGAGCGTTCCTTTGTTCCAGGCCCCCCGTTTGGGACCTGCCTGTTCCGCCACTCCCAACATGGCGGCCCCCAGGCCCCGGCCCGCCCTGGGGCGAGGCGGAAGTGCCACACCCAGCATGGCAGCGCCCAGGGCTGTGCCGCACCCAAGATGGCCGCGCGGGGGCGGGGCCGGCCGCCCGGCCGTGTGTCGCGCCGTCCGTGGCCGCCGGGGGCGGGCAGCGCCGGCCGTGACGCGGCCGCCACGGCGGAGCGGCGGGGCCGGCGGGCGGAGCCGCATCGCACCCACCGGAGACACCGGCGCTCCCCCTGCTGCCACTCCTAACATGGCGGCGGCGCTGCCCCGGCTCTCCCTGCCGCTCCCGCGAGAGGAGGGGGTGAGTCCTCGCGAGAGCTCGGCGCGGCGGAGCGGCCGACATGGAGCCGGGTGGCGGCCCCGGGCCGGGCCCTGTCCCGGTCCCGGGGAACAACAAGGGCCGTGGTGGGGCGGCCGCGCCCGGGAGGGGCCGCGACTTGGCTCGGCCGCCGCGCAAGGACTCCGAGGTCAGCGCCGCCGCCGCCGGGAGTGGGGCGGCCTTCCCGGGCGGGGCGGGCCGCGCCGGGCCTCGGCCAGGGCCTGCCCATGGGTGCCGGTGCCCGGGGGCGGTGCCGGTGTTCGGTCGGTGCCGGTGTTCGTGGGTCCCTGTGAGTGCCAATGCCCGTAGTGCCGGTGCCCGGGGGTGCCAATGTCCGGCCCTGCCAGCCCTGCTTGGGCTCCGCCTTCCCCGGGACCGGCTCGGCCGGTGGCTCCGGTGCTCCCGTTCTGGTCGCAGGACCCGTCCTGGACCGGCCGCTCCCTCGGTACCGCTTCCCGGGCTGTGGAGCCGAGAGGCCTCTCCTTGCTCGGCCCTGGGGCTGCCCGGACCCTGCCCGGTCTCGGTCGGTGCCGATTTCCCCTTTATCAATCCCTTCCCCGGGTCCGGGCCGCTGTGACCGGGCTGGGCCGCGAGGGTGGCTCGGTCGGCCGGTCCCAAACGGGAGTGACAGGGCTGGCCCGGGGGTCTCCCGGCTCAGCCGGGGATTTCTCGGTGTTACCGTTCGGTTCCAGCCCGGGGTGGGATGCCGGGTCCCGCTGCCATGCTCGGACCTGGGATGGTTCCAGCCAGAGGTGACCAAACCCCTCAGGGCCACCCCGCAGTGCTGGGGTCACCCCGAGCCTTGGGATGTGTGGGTTGGGTGGAGCTGAGGTGTCCCGGGGCTTTTCCAAAGCGTTTCACTCTTGGGATGGCCCCAGAGCCTTTCTCTCCCATGGTTCCTCAGAAAGGTCCCTGGAATACCGGGGGATGGATATGAGGGGGAATCTTGGAGAACCTGAGGTGGTTGGAGCTACCCCTCTCTCAGACTCCTGGAATTCAGGATTGTCCTGATGTGGAGTGGAGTGGGAGCCCCCAAATTTAGGAGAGTTCTGCTTGTGGATTCATTTAGGGGTGGATGCCCCAAAATTTGTGTGAGTTTGGTTTTGGGTGTGCCCCTTCTTCGGGAATGCGTACCTCAAAATTTGGGATGGTTCTGTGGCTCTGCCCCTCACTCAGGGCTGAGTGTCCTGAGGGGGTTCTGGTGTGGGTCTGCCCTGTGCTCAGGAGTGTGTGTCCCAAAATTCTGCTCAGGGTCTGCTCCTCACTCAGGAGTGGGTGCCCCAAAGTTTGGGAGAGTTCTGGTGTGGATCTGCTCCTCACTCAGGAGCATGAGTTCCATAATTGAGGAGAATTCTGCTCAGGGTCTGCCCCTCATTCTGGAGTGGGTGCCCCAAAAGTTGGGATGGTTCTGCTGTGGCTCTGCTCCTCACTCAGGGCTGGGTGTCCTGAGGGGGTTCTGGTGTGGGTCTGCCCTGTGCTCAGGGGTGTGTGTCCCAAAATTCTGCTCAGGGTCTGATCCTCACTCAGAAGTGAGTGCCCCAAAATTTGGGAGAGTTTTGGTGTGGATCTGCCCCTCACTCAGGAGTGGGAATCCCATAATTGAGGAAAATTCTGCTCAGGGTCTGCTTCTCACTCAGGAGTGGGAATTCCATAATTCAGGAGAATTCTGCCCCTCATTCTGGAGTGGGTGCCCCAAAATTTGGGATGGTTCTTTTATGGGTTTGCCCCTCACTCAGGAGTGGGAGTCCCATAATTGAGGAGAATTCTGCTCAGGGTCTGCCCCTCATTCTGGAGTGGGTGCCCCAAATTTGGGGTGGTTCTTGTATGGGTTTGCCCCTCACTCAGGAGTGGGAGTTCCATAATTGAGGAGAATTCTGCTCAGGGTCTGCCCCTCATTCTGGAGTGAGTGCCCCAAAATTTGGGATGGTTCTTGTATGGGTCTACCCCTCACTCAGGGATGGGTAAGGATTCTGTTCTGGATCCTCCCCATGCTCAGGAGTAGGAGCCTCATAATTCTGGAGAGTTCTGGTGTGGATTTGCCCTGTACACAGGATTCCAAAATTTGAGAGAGTCTTTCTGTGCACCTGCCCCACTCAGGGCTGGGTGCCCTGAAATACTGTGGGTCGATGTTCTTGACTTGTGTAAAGGGAGCTGATGATATTTTGTGCACTAAAGGTTCTCCTGGCTGTTTTTGCAGCTTCTCCAAAGCTGTTTGGAGCTGTTTCATCCTCACTAATCCCATCTGCTGGGATAGCACAGGGAGATAGCCCAAATTTTCCCAATTCTGTGTGAAATGGGTGAGCTCTGAGAACTGCTTGATCTCAGAGAACCCTCTCCCTGTGTCCTGCTGTGTTTGTTGTGCTTTGGGGGTTCCCCCCATGCTCTGGGAGTGCTGCAGTGGCTGCAGCACAGCCTGTGCAGACGCAGGAGGTGGGCTGGAGTTGCCTCGGTAACGTTTGTGCTGCTGCAGAAATGTTTTTGGTCCCTAAACCAGCAAGACCAGCCCTGGATTTGCAGGAGGATGAGGTGAATTGTGAGTGTTTTCAGGGGTTTTGGTTTTCCTGAAATGTGCTGTAATGGAACTGATTTTTCCCCCATGTTTTCAGGGCTATTCAGAATCACCAGACCTGGAGTTTGAATATGCAGACACGGATAAATGGACAGCAGAGCTCTCAGGTAAGGAATAGTTCTGTAATGGATCACTTAATCAACCATCATTTCCTCTCCTGGTAGAATTAAAGGAACTGTCAATTCCAGTATCTCGTTATTATTATATTTAAATGCTGTATTGATGTTAAAAGGGGCAGGATATGTGTAGTTCATATTTTTGGCCTTACACTGCGTGGGGTTTTATTACCGCAGTTCCCAGGGCTGAGTTGCAGCTTGGTGCAGGTTTTTGGAACTTCTTTTCTTTTGGCAGAACTGTACAGCTACACAGAGGGACCAGAGTTCCTGCTCAACAGAAAATGCTTTGAGGAGGACTTCAGGATCCACAGTAAGAGCTGGATCTTTTTCTGGGTTCCTCTCCCCTGGGGAGGCACAGGGATTTCTCTTCCTAGAGAAGAGGAGCGTGATGTCAGAGCTCACTGGGGTCTGCAGCTACTCCTGAGGGGCAGCTTTGATCTCTGCTCTGTGTGAGCAGGGACAGGACCCCAGGGAATGGCTGGGGCTGTGTCAGGGGAGGAGATCAGGGAAAGGTTCTTTGCCAGAGGGTGCTGGCACTGCCCAGGCTCCACAGGGAATGGACACAGCTCCGAGGCTGCCAGAGCTCCAGAAGTGTTTGGACAATGCTCTCAGTGGGAGATTTTGGGGTGTCCTGTGCAGCACCAGGACTTGCCCTCTATGATCCTTGTGCAGCTCAGGACGTTCCATGCACCTCAGGGTCCCGTGCAGCTCAGAACATTCCATGATGCCAGGACTTCTCTAATCTCCTGCTGGACAGCAGGAGCCATCCCTCAGCCCTCACCCATCCCCAGCGCTCCCTGGCTCTGCTGTGCCAGCTGAGGCTGTGCCCAGAGCCCTGCTGTGGTTTGCAGTGCGGGACAAGAAGTGGCCGGAGCTGGAGCGGACGCAGCACCGCACGCACGCCATGCGCCTGCTGGACGGGCTGGAGGTGACGGCGCGCGAGAGGCGCCTGCGCGTGGCACGCGCCATCCTCTACGTGGCACAAGGTGACACCGCCCCGACACCTGCTTACCGCTGCTAGCTCCATGAAATGGGTTATGTTGTAATATATATATTATATACAATATTATATATTATATATAATATATATATTATACATTATATATATTATATATATAATGTATATAATATACTATATATTATATATCATATATATTATATATATATTATATATTATATATATTTATTATATATATTGTACAGTATAGTTGTACAGTTAGATACAGTTATATGTGTTACATTATATACGTTAACTGTATTATATATAGTGTAAATTTAAATATTTAATATAGAACTCCTTTATGTTAATAATATTTATATATATATAAGATATATAAGATAAATAAGATATATATAGGATATAGATATAAGATATATGATATATATATCTAAGGTATATATATTATATCTAAAATATATATAAGTTACATATAAGATATATAGATATAAGATATATCTAAGATATATATGAAAGATATAAGCTATCTTTTAAATATATTAGATACAAGATATATATCTTTATATATAAATGTTTATGTATCTTATAAATGTTTAATACATTTTATATAGTGTATATAGTATATATACTGTATAATACAATAGTATTATATACAATATATATACAGTTATGTACTACATGTACTATATAATACAATTATATATATACTATATAATACAATATATACACTAATACAATTGTATATAATACAACAGGTAATACAGAGTTTTATATTATGCATAGTATAATGTATATTGTATTATAATATGTATTGTAGATTATATGGTACTATGTGTTACATATAAAATACACATTATAATTATATGTATATGCTATGTATATGGGAGAGTACAATTTCATATCTAATATATACATAAATATATATAATAATATGCACACTATAGGTAATATTATTATTTATGTACTATATATGAGACATAGCACAATACATAATATATGCATAAAAATATGTATGCTATATGTAACATTTTTATGTATGCTATATGTGAGAGTACAATATAATCTCATATATATAGTATATATCTAAAAATATTTAATTATAATATGTATACTACATGTAATACATAATACAATATAATCTACAATACATATTATATATGATATACTGTATATTGTAAATTTTATATTACATATATTACATGTTATGTCTTACATATAATGCATTGGATATTTAATATATTTATACATTATATATTAAATACTGAATAATATAATGAATAACATGTATAATATGTATAATATAAATATATATTATATATTGTATTTTAATATAAAATATAATATATAGCTTATGTTTTTCATATTATATATTATACATTATACACAATATGTTATATATGTTGTATGTAATATATCAATATATAATATAGTGAATATATAGTATTAATATGATCCTATAATTACTAATTATTTTAATATATAATATTTAGAAGAATTCTCATTCCTTGTGGATTCCATTCCATCTGGGATGTCTGGAACCGAGCTGAATCTCATGGGACCAGCTAGTTTAGAGCAGTTTGGCCCATTCCCCGTGTTACCCCAGTTCTGCAGACCTGGAATGGGTTCCCCAAAGAGGGCAGCTCCATGCTGTGCATCCCAGTTTTCCCCCAGTTTGAGGGGTGTGTTTTCCATACAAGGTGCAGTGGGAGGGCCCCTGGGGCTGGCATCAGCAGGGTCTCCTTGCAGGCACCTTTGGTGAGTGCAGCTCCGAGGCTGAGGTCCAGGCCTGGATGAGGTACAACATCTTCCTCCTGCTGGAAGTGGGAACCTTCAACGCCTTGGTGGAGCTGCTCAACATGGAGATTGAGTGAGTACAGTGGGAAAACACTTCAGGAGTGGCTCTGGAATTCACCAGAGTGACTCCCTTTGTCCTGGGTGGGTGTGTAATGTAGGATTATACCTGATTTCTTCTGAAATTCCCCATTAATCAAAGTGCCTGACAGCAAACAGGCAGCTCTGCTCCTCCTCACGTGGCTGTGCTGGGAGCAGGGAGTTCATGGCAGCAGTGTCTGTCTCAGGGTTTGGAGTTGGCACATGGAGTGCCCATGGCAGAGTCTGAATTCCCCCAAATTCTGTCTGAGCTGTTCTCCCTCTGCAGCAACAGTGCAGCCTGCTCCAGTGCCGTGAGGAAACCGGCCATTTCCCTGGCTGACAGCACCGACCTCAGGTATGCAGTGGGAATGAGGCCACCAGGAGGGGCTCCAGGGTTTGCTGGGGGCTTTGGGAGGCTGAGGCAGGCACTGGAAGGGGTCCCAGAGCTGTCCCAGCTCTGAGAGTTTCCACAGGTGTCTGTTGTGCTCAGCCTGAACAGCAGGAATGAGACAGGTTGGGAATATGAAAGCATTTGGGAAATTTGGGACTTGTAGAGACTTTTCTCCCCAGTGCCTGTGTGCTGGTTTGGAGCAGGTACATGAATTGTGGATGTGGTCTGGGTTGCTCCAGCTTCTCCCTGAGTGCTGGCAGTGGTTCCATAAGTTATCCCTGGCAGGGATTCAGCTGCCCTGGTTTTTGCAGGGTGCTGCTGAACATCATGTACCTGATTGTGGAGACCGTGCGCCAGGAGGCCGAGGGGGACAAGCCTGAGTGGAAGAGCATGAGGCAAACCTTCCGAGCAGAGCTGGGTGAGGACCAGGAGGTGGGATAGAGCTGCCAGGGCTGGAGCCAGTGACATGGCATTTGGCTCCAGGAGTTGAGTAATAGTGACTGGCAGCACTGGGTTGGTTTCTGCTCAGCTTGTGGGGCAGAGGGAGGTGAGCAGAGGAAGCCATCCAGCCTTTGCTGCTGCTGGGTGCTCTCTGCTGGGGAAAAAAATGGAATATTTGAGCTGTTGTTTCCTCTTAAATGTAGAGGTAAGAAATTACAGAGTTTACAAGGCCTTGGAAGGGGAGAGGAGCTGTCTGGGGTGAGGTGAGGATCTTGGAGCTAATGGGGAGGAGGGTACAGGTGCTGGTGATACTGGTGATCAGGGTGAGGCCAGGGATGAGGAATTCCTGGCTGATGGTGCTGTGTGGTTCCAGGAGCCCCCCTGTACAACAACGAGCCCTTCTCTGTCATGCTCTTTGGGATGGTGACCAAATTCTGCAGTGGCCATGCTCCACACTTCCCCATGAAGAAGGTGCTGCTTCTGCTCTGGAAAACTGTGCTGGTAAGGAGAGGCTGTGGGATGTGGGATGTGTGGTTTGATACTTGGCACAGGAAGGAATTCTGCTCTCAGAGTTAGTTGGTTGTCATTCTCCATCCTCTTTTTCTGGTGTTCAGTTTTCCTTTAAACCCAATCCCAAGTTTTCCTTCACAGGGAAGCATTGGATATTGGTGTCTGGAGTTGGATACTAAAGATAAACCCAAACCAAGGTCCCTGGCTGGGGAAAGGAAAGTTCTGAACAGTTGTGTATGCCTGGACATCCTCCTGTCCTTCCTGCCTCTCTCAATGACAAGAGGAGCACAGGACAGGCAGCTCCTGTTTGAAACTGGGGAACGATTTGGGCTCCTCAGGACAAGAGAGACTTTGATGGGCTGGAGTGTGTCCAGGGAGGGGAACATCACTGGGAAGGGTCTGGAGTGGCTGAGGGAGCTGGGGGAGCTCAGCTTAGAGAAAAGGAGGCTCAGAGGGGACCTTTTGGCTCTGCACAACTCCCTGACAGGAGGAGGCAGCTCAGGACAAGAGAAAATGACATCAAGCTGTGCCAGGGGAGGTTTAGGTTGGATATTGGGAAGTTTTTTTCATGGAAAGAGTGGTCAGGCATTGGCACAGGCAGGCCAGGACAATGTTGGAGTCACCATCCTCAGGGGGATTTAAAGGACACACAGATGTGGCACTTGGTGACATGGATTACTGGTGGCCTTGGCAGTGCTGTGGGAGCAGTGGGACTCGATGATCTCAGAGGGCTTTTCCAACCTGAACAATTCTGTGATCCTGCAAAATGAGTTTGGGAAAGGCAGGTGTAGCTGTCCCTGGAGCCCCCTGTGCCATGCTCAGCATGCTCTGGTGTCCCTTGCAGTGCACCCTGGGAGGGTTTGAGGAGCTGCAGAGCATGAAGGCAGAGAAGAGGGAGATGCTGGGGCTGCCCCCCCTGCCCGAGGACAGCATCCAGGTGATCCGCAACATGCGCGCGGCCTCCCCGCCCGCCTCCGCCTCCGACCTCATCGAGCAGCAGCAGAAACGCGGCCGCAGGGAGCACAAGGTGGGGACAGGGACATCAGGGAGGGCACTGCCAGGCTCTGTCAGAACCCAGGAAATTCCTCTGGCTGCCCTGGAGGGCTCGAGCCCCTGTCCGAGGGACCAGAGACCTTGGCACAGAGCCCAAGACCCCCGTGCCTTTGATGTAGCCCTTGGAAAAAACAATTACCAACCTTATATGAAGAATTACAAGTCAAAAATGTTTAAGTAGAATGATATTTGTCATGGGGTAAAAAATAGATTTTTAGGGTTTTTAGAATGGAGGTTCAGGAGGTAAGATGGAGGAATCTGGGCATGTCCAGTCTTTCTCCTTCTTCTTCTTGGCCTCAATCTTCTGGGCGATGTTGGCACTTTTGGGTTGGTTTAAGGTAGAAGCTCACTGTCTAACACAGGTGATAGGTATTGGGAAGTTATTGTAAATAATGTACACATAGTTTTTAGAATAAAAAGATAACACCAGTGTGCCTCAACCTGACCTGCCAGACAGACCTCAGTGGGTCGGAGAAAAAATTTTATAGATAAGAAACCATAAACAACCTTGAGAAGGAGAATAGAAGAGTTCTGACTCCTTCTTCAACTGCCAGGGTGGGAAAAGAGACTTTCTAACACATCTTGGGGTCACTGTGACCTGCAGAGATTCCAGGAATCTCTGGGCTTGTCTGTGGGACATTCCCTTCCTGCTCTCCCCACTCCAGGCCCTCATTAAGCAGGATAACCTCGATGCCTTCAACGAGCGGGATCCGTACAAAGCTGATGATTCCCGTGAGGAAGAAGAGGAAAATGATGATGACAACAGCCTGGAGGGAGAGACCTTCCCCCTGGAAAGGGATGAAGTGATGCCCCCCCCTACCCAGCACCCCCCAAGTGACCGCATCACCTGCCCCAAAGGGCTGCCCTGGGCTCCCAAGGTCCGGTGAGTCTGGGGTGTCCCTGCTGGGAGAACTGGAGCAGGGTCAGGGAAATGGAGGCTGTTGGATGTTGGGAATCTCAGCAGGGATGTAGGGAAGGTTTTTGGGGTGGGGGGTCACTTTGATGGCTGTTTTCTTGTGGGGTTGGCTGTGCACCCTTTACCTGACCACAAGGCTTTTCCCTGTGCCATTCTCTGTGCCTAGCTGGGTATCTTCCAGATGCTCTGGAGGGTGTGACTCTTCCCTTCTCCCTTTGCTGCAGGGAGAAGGACATTGAGATGTTCCTGGAATCCAGCCGCAGCAAATTCATCGGCTACACGCTGGGCAGGTGGGTGCAGAGCCAGCCCAGTGCTGCCATTATGGGGGAGCTGTGGGAGAGGCCAATCTGGGGGCTGCTTTTGTCTCTCTGTGGCAGAAGGGAAGGCCTTGGCTGGCTGGGCTGTGGCTTCATCCCTGGGTGGTCTCTGCCCCACCCCTGGGTGCTCAGCCCTGCTCCCAGCCTGGCTCTTTCCCTCCTCCAGTGACACCAACACCGTGGTGGGCTTGCCCAGGCCCATCCATGAGAGCATCCGCACCCTGAAGCTGGTGAGTTGAGGAATTCCTCCAGCCCCTGCTGCTGGAGGGGTGCCCCTTGCCCATCTCCCTGCTCCCATCACAGCTCAGGGTGGATTTCCCTGACCATTTTCCCCTTTCTCCACCTTGTGATGGGAGAGCAGCCTTAAGCTTTCATCTCATGCTAGACTCAGAGGTTGTGTGAGCCCCTTCCTTAGGAGGCTCCATCCCTTCCTTAAGGGGGTTCCATCCCTTCATTAGGGGACTCCATCCCTTCCATAGGGGGTTCCATCCCTTCATTATCCTTAGGAGGGTCCATCCCTTCCTTAGGAGGTTTTATCCCATTCTTAGGGGGTTCCATCCTTTTTTTTGGAGGCTCCATCCCTTCCTTAGGGGGCTCCATCCCTTCCTTAGGGGGTTCTGTCTCTTCCTTAGGGGGTTCTGTCTCTTACTTAAAGGGTTCCATCCCTTCTTTAGGGGACTCCATCCCTTTCTTAAGGCGTTCCATCCCTTTTTTTAGGAGGCTCCATCCCTTCCTTAGGGGACTCCATCCCTTTCTTAGGAGGTCCCATCCCTTTTTTTAGGGGTTTCCATCCCTTTTTTTAGGAGGCTCCATCACTTCCTCAGGGGACTCCATCCCTTCCTCAAAGAGCTCCATCTCTTCCTTAGGGGGGTTCCATTCCTTCCTTAGGGGGTTCCATCCCTTCCTTAGGGGGCTCCATCCCTTTCTTAGGGGGTTTTATCCCTCTCTTCATGTCTCCATCCCTTTCCTACTGGCCTTGTCCAGCAGCTCCCACCCTTCCCATCTACCCAGGTCACCCCTTGGACAGGGATCTGGGAGGGATGGAACAGGGTGGTGGGAGGACGCTGGGGCTGGGGGCAGCACTGGGGGACTGTGGTGACCCCCCCTGTCCCCCTGCAGCACAAGTACACGTCCATTGCTGAGGTGCAGGTGCACATGGAAGAGGAGTACCTGCGCTCCCCGCTCTCAGGAGTGAGTGTGGGGATGGATGGGATGGGATGGGATGGGATGGGGATCCTGGGCTGGGAGTTGGGGGCACTTGGTCCTGCCAGGTTTTTTGGCAGGACTGAGGAGTTTGTTTTGCTGGGGAGGGGTTTCTCTGGAGCAGAGGGGTCGGGGGTATCCCGCCCTTGGGTGTTAATGGCAGCTCCTGGGATGAGGTTTTCTGATCTCTCCTGGCACCAGGGGGAAGAGGAAGTGGAGCAAGTCCCTGCAGAGATCCTGTACCAGGGCCTGCTGCCCAGCCTGCCCCAGTACATGGTGAGATGGGGAGCACTGGGATCCCCTGGATCAGTCCCTTTACAGTGATGCACCCCAAGTTTTCGCCTCCCTCCTGCAGTGGAGAAAGGGCCTTGTGTCAGTTCCCTGCAGCTCCCATTCCCCTCCATCTCTCCCTTCTTCCCAGATTGCTCTGCTGAAGATCCTCCTGGCTGCAGCCCCCACCTCCAAAGCCAAGACAGACTCCATCAACATCCTGGCAGACGTCCTGCCCGAGGAGATGCCGTGAGTGGCTGTGGAGCAGAGGGGCTGGCTGGGCTGGGAAGGGAAGGAGGGGTGGGAGGGAGCTGGGGGAGTGCCCTGGTGTGGGCTGGGGCTCCCTGGGGGACGTGACCCTGCTCTGCCCTGCATTGCACCCTGCAGGAACTGGTGGCCTCCTGCAGGAGCAGTTGGACTCGATGCTCTCAGAGGTCTTTTCCAACCTGAATGATTCTGTGATCCTGCAAAGTGGGTTTGGGAAGGGCTGCTGTAGATGTCTCCATACTCAGCATGCTGTGGTGTCCCTTGCAGTGCACCCTGGCAGGGTTTGAGGAATCATGGTATGTTTTGGGTGGGAAGGGACCTTAAAGCTCATCCAGTTCCACCCCCTGCCATTGGCAGGGATACCCTGCTGCTGTATGGGTGCCCCTTGCCCATCTCCCTGCTCCCATCACAGCTCAGGGTGGATTTTCCTGACCATTTTCCCCTTTCTCCACCTAGTGATGGGAGAGCAGCCTTAAGCTTTCATCTCATCCTGTATTTATAGCTTGTCTGAGCCCCTTCCTTAGGGGGCTCCATCCCTTCCTTACGGGGCTCCATCCCTTCCTTAGGGGGCTCAACCTTCCACTAGACCAGGTTGGGCTTGGACCCTTCCAGAGATGGGGCAGCCACAGCTTCCCTGGACAACCTGTGCCACCCTGAGAGGGATGAATCCCTCCTGACACTGTCCCTCTGTGTCCCCCAGGACCACTGTGCTGCAGAGCATGAAGCTGGGCGTGGATGTCAATAGGCACAAGGAGATCATTGTCAAAGCCATCTCTGCTGTGCTGCTGCTCCTGCTCAAACACTTCAAGCTCAACCACATCTACCAGGTGAGGGGGTCCAGCAGTGCCCACGGGTCTCTGGGCATGGCGGGACCCTGAGTGGGTCCCTGTTTACTCAAGTTTCTCCTCCCCAGTTTGAGTACATGGCCCAGCACCTGGTCTTTGCCAACTGCATCCCGCTCATCCTCAAGTTCTTCAACCAGAACATCATGTCCTACATCACTGCCAAGAACAGGTGAGGAGAAGGCTGCACACCTGTGGTGGTGTTTGCAGGGGTCCCAGGATGAGAGCAGAGATGAGGATCTGACTCCATATTTCAGAAGGCTTGATTTATTATGTTATGATATATATTTTTTATATACCCACAAGTCCCATTTTCATAAGTATCTGAACACTTTTCTTCACTGTTAGGTTATACAAATGTGATTAAAGACCATATTACTTCTGAATCATAGGTTCAAAATTTACTATATATATACTATATTTACTATATATTTACTATATATTATTAAAACTATACTAAAAGAATAGAAGAAAGGATTTCATCAGAAGGCTAGCTGAGAATAGAAAAAGAATGATAACAAAGGCTTGTGACTGAGACAGTCAAGCCAGCTGACTGTGATTGGCCATTAATTAGAAACAACCCCATGAGACCAATCACAGATGCACCTGTTGCATTCCACAGCAGCAGATAACCAATGTTTACATTTTGTTCCTGAGGCCTCTCAGCTTCTCAGGAGGAAAAATCTTAAGGAAAGGATTTTCCATAAAAGATGTCTGTGGCACATCTGCATTCCTGGGGGATGTGGGGAGGGGTCCCTGTTTCTTTGGCCCCTCTGCAGTCCCTCCCTGTCAGTGACTCAGGCTCAGGCAGAGCTGCAAAGTTCCCACCAGAGCCCATCTGCAGTGTGTGGGGAGTGTGGGCTGCATTTCCCCCATGCCAGGGGGATCTGGGGGTACCCCTCAAGCACCCCTCTCTTCCTGCAGCATCTCAGTGCTGGATTACCCCTACTGTGTGGTGCATGAGCTGCCAGAGCTGACGGCTGAGAGCCTGGTGAGTCCTCCTGCTGTGACACTCCTGGTGTGACCGTGTTCACAGGGCTCTGAGGATGAGGGAAGAGATGAGGATCTGACTCTGTGTTTCAGAAGGCTGATTTATTATTTTATTATATATATTACATTAAAACTATACTAAAGGAATAAAAGAAAAGGTTTCATCAGAAGGGCTGGCTAAGAATAGAGAAGAATGATAACAAAGGTTTGTGGCTCGGGCTCTGTGTCTAAACTAGCTGGGCTGTGATTGGCCATTAATTACAAACAACCACATGAGACTAATCACAGATGCACCTGTTGCATTCCACAGCAGCAGATAACCAATGTTTACATTTTGTTCCTGAGGCCTCCCAGCTCCTCAGAAGGAAAAATCCTAAGGAAAGGATTTCATAAAAGATGTCTGCGACAACTCCTGGCACCTGGCGTGCTGCCCGGGGGAGTTTGGAGTGCAGGGAGGCAGCACCCAGCCCCTGCACCCTCAGCTCTCCTGTGCTCATTCCCTGGGGTTCTGGGGATGGGGATGGCAGGTGTCTGATGGGGTGGAGCGTGTCCAGAGAAGAGAATGGAGCTGGGGAAGGGGCTGGAGGACCAGGAGTTGCTGAGGGAGCTGGGGGGGCTCAGCCTGGAGAAAAGGAGGCTCCTGGGAACTTGCTGGCTCTGCACAACTCCCTGACAGGAGGGTGGACCTGGAGGTTCAGGTTCTAGTCCCAGGGAACAAGAGAGAATGGCCTCAAGCTGTGCCAGGGGAAGTTCAGGTTCGATATTGGAGAGAAATTCTTCGTGGAAAGGATGGTCAGGCACTGGTACATGCTGGCCAGAGCAGTGTTGGAGTCACCATCCCTGGAATTGTTCAGAAAATGTGTGAGTGTGAATGTGGCACTTGAGGCCAGGGATTACTGGTGGCCCTGGCAGTGCTGGGGGAGCAGTTGGACTTGATGATCTCAGAGGGCTTTCCCAATCTTAACACTTCCATGATTGGAGGATTCCATGCCCCCATGCTGTGCTGTCCCCATGTCCAATAGCTCCTCAGATCACCCCAGCTTCTCCCCATCCCCTCTCCAATCCCTTGCCTGACCCTGCCTCTCCTTCCCCACAGGAAGCTGGAGACAACAACCAGTTCTGCTGGCGGAACCTCTTCTCCTGCATAAACCTCCTGCGCATCCTGAACAAGCTGACCAAGTGGAAGCACTCCCGCACCATGGTGAGCCCTGGGAGTGCTCTGGAGCTCAGCATGGCCAGGCACCTGCACTGGGGATAACCTGGGACAAGCCAGGGCTTGAGCAGGGGAGTGGAAGGGGGGGTTGGCCCAGGGATCCATCCCAGCTGGATCTGGAATGTTCTGCAGATGCTGGTGGTGTTCAAGTCGGCGCCGATCCTGAAGCGGGCTCTGAAGGTGAAGCAGGCCATGATGCAGCTCTACGTGCTGAAGCTGCTCAAGGTGCAGACCAAGTACCTGGGCAGGCAGTGGAGGAAGAGCAACATGAAAACCATGTCAGCCATCTACCAGAAAGTGAGGCACCGCCTCAACGACGACTGGGCCTACGGCAACGGTACATCCTGGCATCCCTGGCATCCCCAGCCCTCCTGCCCCAGGGTCTCTGGCACCCCTGGCATCCCCAGCCCTCCTGCTCCAGGGTCTCTGGCATCCCTGGCATCCCCAGCCCTCCTGCTCCAAGGTCTCTGGCATCCCTGGCATTCCCACCCCTCCTGCTCCACGGTCTTTGGCATCCTGGCATCCCCAACCCTCCTGCTCCAGGGTCTGTGGCATTCCCAGCCCTCCTGCCCCAGGGTCTGTGGCATTCCCAGTCCTCCTGCTCCACAGTCTGTGGCATTCCTAACCCTCCTGCCCCAGGGTCTGTGGCATCCCTGCCATTCCTACCCCTCCTGCTCCACGGTCTTTGGCATCCTGGCATCCCCAACCCTCCTGCTCCAGGCTCTGTGGCATTCCCAGCCCTCCTGCTCCAAGGTCTGTGCATCCCTGGCATCCCCAGCCCTCCTGCCCCAGGGTCTGTGCCCCAGCTCCCCCTTTGCTGCCTGGGGTTTGGGCCTATGTTCTGGGTTGACCTTGGTGGATTTTGGCTGGTTGAGCTTGACCAGGTGCCCATCAAGCTGCTCTATCCTTTCCGAGCTGGACAGAGCAGAGAAAATCAGCTGGGGAATGACTTGCAGGGTGAAATAAGGTTGTTTAGTACAGCAAAAGCAGAAAAAAAATAGGTTTGTTTTGTACTTCCCATGAGCAAGTGATGTTCAGGCACTCTGGGGAAGCCAGGCTGCAGCGCGTGGAGCTGCTGCTCTGGAAGGCACATGGTTTAAATAACTAATGCCCCATCATTCCTCCTCCTTTCCTTGGCTTTATATCTGATCTGACATCACAGAATCTGGAATATTCCCTTGGCTGATTTGTGTCAGCTGCCCCGTGTCCCCTCCCAGGATCTTGCATGTGCTTGATGGGGTGGGAATGTTGGGAGACAGTGCTGGTGCTGTGCCCAGCAGAGCCAGAGTACTGGTGGGTTCCCAGAACCTTCCCAGCTCCCACTGCAAAGCCCAGCACTGGCAGGATTCCTGTGGGAAACAAATTCCAGCTGAGCCAGACACTGTCCAGCAGGTCTGGGGTGTGGGAGGGATTTTGGTGATGACATTTTAGGGCTCAGGGCTCTGCCAGAGGTGTCAAACCTTGGCTAAAAACCCTTTTTGGCCTAAATTGGGCTGGAACAGCAGATTTGGTGCCTCCCTGAGGGGATCCAGGTGCCCCAGTGGGGTGTCCCCCTCCCACCATCAGGATGTGGGAGGTGGGACAGGATGGCATTGCAGTTTTGGGGGTTTTATTTTGGCCCAGGAAAGTCCTTTGGGGTGTACCAGCATTTCCTGGTGCTGAGGCAAGTGGGGCCAAAGGGAGCCCCCATTCCTGGCTTTGTTTTGGTTGTTCCCTGTGCTGGGGATGCTGGAAGTGGTGGAGGAGCTGTTGGTGGCTGCTGACTGTGCTTTGTTTGACCTACAAAGGCCTTTCCTGAGCGGGAGGGGGCTGGAGGTGTGTGGATTGTTGGGAGGAGACAGGACCAAAGGATATTCCAGACCCTAGGGCATCATGCTCAGGATATAAAGTGGGGAGAAAAAGGAGGAATTGGGGGATGTTGGGAGTGATGGTGTTTGTCATGCAAGCCCAAGATGTAAAGTGGAAGGAAAAAGGAGGAATTGGGGGATGTTTGGAGTGATGGTGTTTGTCATCCAAGCCACCATTCCCTGTTCTCCTCAAGGTGCTGAACACCTGCCTGCTCATGGGAAGTGGGGGATTAATTCCTTGCTTTTCTTTCCTTGTGCTGCACAGCTTTTGCTTTCTTTATTAAGCAAAAGCTTTGTTGTTCTTTATCCTAACCCAGCAGTTTTCCAGCTTTTACCCTCCTGATTCTTCCCTGCTCCAGCTGGTGGGTGAATGAGCAATCAGCCACATGGGGCTCAGTCTGGCTGGGGTTACACCACCACACGAGGGCTTTGGGCTGGCTGAGGAGTCCCCAGCTGTGCTCACAGGGGTCTGAGGATGAGGGAAGAGATGAGGATCTGACTCCATGCTTCAGAAGGCTTGATTTATTATTTTATGATAGATATTACATTAAAACGATACTAAAAGCATATATATTACATTAAAACTGTGCTAAAAGGATATATATTACATTAAAACTGTACTAAAAGGATATATATTACATTAAAACTCTGCTAAAAGAATAGAAGAAAAAGTTTCATCTCAGAAGGCTAGCTAAGAATAGAATAGAATAGAAAGGAAAAGAATGATAACAAAGGTTTGTGGCTCGGACAGAGTCTGAGCCAGCTGGGCTGTGGTTGGCCATTAATTAGAAACAACCACATGAGCCCAATCACAGATGCACCTGTTGCATTCCACAGCAGCAGATAATTATTGTTCACATTTTGTCCCTGAAGCCTCTCAGACAAAAATCCTAAGGAAAGATTTCTCATAGAGAGACGCCTGTGACACCCAGCTCTGCTCTGACCCCTCTCATGCCTGTTCCAGACCTGGATGCCCGTCCCTGGGATTTCCAGGCAGAGGAGTGTGCCCTGCGTGCCAGCATCGAGCGCTTCAACTCGCGGCGCTACGACCGCGCCCACGGCAACCCCGACTTCGTGCCCGTGGACAACTGCCTGCAGAGCGTGCTGGGCCAGAGGGTGGAGCTGCCCGAGGACTTCCAGCTCAACTACGACCTCTGGCTGGAGAGGGAGGTGTTCTCCCGGCCCATCTCGTGGGAGGAGCTGCTGCAGTGATGGACACGGGGAGGCAGGAGGGGTTGCTTGGAGAGCTGGAGGCTCGCGGGGCGGGGCAGCGAGGTTTGAGGGGGTCTCTGCTTGGCTGTGCTGTTGTGGTGGGCTTGGGAAGAGGATGGAGCTGAGACCACATGCTGCCCCTCTCTGAGCTTCCTTCCAGGCTCATCCCAAAGCTGAGGGTGCCCTGGGGGTTTCCTCTTTGGGTGGGGGGGATCTGTGCCCACCAACGCCGTGTGATGCTTTCAGGGGCACCCCCGTTCTCGTGCCCCCCAGCCAGGAAGGGGGAGCAGGTGGGAGTGGGGGTCCTTGGGTGGCCCTGCCCAGCCCCTCTGGGGGGTTTGGGGGGCTTGAGGGGCTGGGGTGGCCTCCCCTCACCCCACGAGGGGCGCAGGAGCTGTACATATATTATATATATTTGGTGATACCTCTGCCCTGAGCGTGGCTGGGCTCTGTCCCTGTCCCTCCTGCCTGGAGCTGGGCTGGGATGAGAGCTCCTCATCCCATGTCCTTGTCCTCACTCATCCCTCAAATCCCAGGGGTACATGGCCCCTCACCAGAAGGTTTAATCTTATCTTGCACCCTCTCTGTTGGTTGGGGGGAGCAGCTTCTCACAGGCATTTCCCTGTCCCATTCACTGAACCCTCCCCAGCTCTGTGCTGGGATTTCTGACACCTCTGTGGTGTTACCTGGGATTTTCTTTGTGGTGTTACCACTGGGATTTTCTTTGTGGTGTTACCACCAGGATTTTCTTTGGTCTCTGCTCCCAGTAGAGGATCCTGACACCAAATCCTGCCAGAGCTCAGCCTTGCACATTGCCTGGCCTCAGTTTCCCTGGCAGAGGGGCAGCAGCAGCCCTGGGGGATGAAACCCTGGGGGATTCACCCTGATTTGAGGCAGGGATTTGCAGAGATAGTTGTGGGCAGAGGGAGCCTGAGACAGCACCAATTCCACCCCATCACCTGCTGGGATTCTGAGCCTGTGGAGCTCCAGGAGTGAATGCAGCTATGGGGATGCTCAACCTCAGCCCTGGAAGCAGCAAACTCAGCCTTATGAGACATCAGAGAAGTTCTGTGGGCACAGCATGGGTGGTAAAATGCCCTTAATCTATGCCTGGAGCTGTCCCCATCGTGTCCTCTTCCCCCTCAGCCAGGGGTGACATTGAGCTGGATCCATCTGGATGCCCAGTGCTGCACCCTGACCCCGTGGGCAGCACAGAGCCAGGTCTGGGTGTGCCTCCAGGAGAGGCACAGAGAAGGAAAAGCTGCCCTGGCTTGGTTTAATGATGAGTAAAACTTCCAGAAATCCCTGCTCACCCTGCTCAGGACACTGCAAACCCTCCCAGCAAAGCTCCCTCAGCACCACTTTGCACCCCAGTAAATCCCTGGATATGGTTTAGAGGGAAACTCCGTGGTGCTGCTGGGCTGGGATGATCCCAGAGGGCTTTTCCAGCCCCAAGGACTGCAGTTCTCTGTGGTTGGGGTGTTCAGCAGCCCAAACCTCATTCCTTATCCCTCATCCCACATTCCAAGGGAGCATCAGGTCCTGGCAAAGCCCAACTTTCAATGGAGACAAATGGATTTTATCCTCCCTAGGACAGAGGTTTTAAAAGGGGATTTTATTTTTTTTTTTTTATTTTCTTACTGCTTCTCCTGAACCACAGAGCACTGCTGGAAGTGCCCCCAGTGTCCTGCCAGGGCTGTAGCCACTTCTCCAGCACCATCCTGCCCCCAAACCCCATTCCCAGCACCAGAACAGGCCTGAGGAGCCTGTTTGGACTCTCCATCCCCAGCCCCTCTGGCTTTATAGGGCTGCTGGAGCCATAATTAACTTATGAAAAATGTGGTTTATTGTTTAGAAATGAATAACACAATGCCCACCGGTGGGAGGGGGTGTCAGATGTCCTGGCTGAGGGTGGGCAGCCCTGGGCTGGCACCCACTGTGCCCAGGGCTTGCCTGGAAACCTTGGGCTTCTCCAGCCTGGGTTTGGTGCCTTTCTGAGGGCATCCAGGTGCCCCCCAGGGGTGTCCCCCCTTCAGGATGTGGGGCTGGGGCAGGGGGGCATTGCAGGTTGGGCAGGGAGAGGGGTTGGCCCCAGAGTGTCCCTGGTGCTGGGGTGAGCTGGGACATTCCTGGCTTCATTTTTGGTGTTTCCTACAGTGGGGGAGGTCACAGTGGATGACAGGGGGGGACTTGGGGACCCCCAGAACAGATGAGGTGCCCCCTCATTACCGCCCTTGCAGGTACCACCTGTAACCCTGCAAAATGCAGAAACCCCTCACCCAAATTGCCCATTTGTGCCCCAACCCATCCCAATCCTGGGAGGGTTCCCACTGGGAATTACTGGGTTCCCACTGGGAATTCAATCCCACTGCTGGGATTAAAACGCCTTCCTGAGGGGTAACAGACTGACCCCCCAAGGAACAGGCTTAATTTGGGATGCTTTATTGTGCCAGGGCCTTATTTCCCCTCCAAGATGGAGCAGAAGGAGCTGTGATGCTCTGAGGGGACTTTGGGGCTCCTTGGCCCTGCCCCCAGTAACCCCCAGTACCAGCAGCTGTCCCAGCCCAGTCTTCCCAGTATGGACTGGGAGAGGCAGAGCCCAATTTCTGCCATTGCTGGTTGTGCTGGGCAGGGGCTGAGCGGCCAAATTTCAGCTGGGGAGGGGAGAAATTTCCCCAAAACTGCTGCCCTGGTGCTCCACAGCCCTACCCAGGGGCACACACGAGGGGTGAGGAAAGCTCCATCAAACCCAATCCCTGAAGGTGCCGGGAGGGCTCAGGAAATTGAGGGAGCCATTTCCGAGCTTCCCCCTGGGTTTGGGGACCCCTCTTTTTCCTCCCCCTGGCCCCTCTCATTGGGGTGAGGGCAGTGGTGGATGCAGGGGGTGCAGAGAGGGGGTGAAGGAGATCCCACAGCCTGACCCCCATCCCTGGGATCTTCCCATTGTGGGACTGGGAGAGGCAGAGCCCAATTTCTGCCATTGCTGGTTGTGCTGGGCAGGGAGTGAGCGGCCAAATTTCAGCTGGGGAGGGGAGAATTGCCCCCAAAACTGCTGCCCTGGTGCTCCACAGCCCCAGCCAGGGTCACACACCTGGGGTGGGGAAAGCACTGGGAATCTCCATCAAACCCAGTCCTGAAAATGCCGGGAGGGCTCAGGAAATTGGGGGAGCCATTTCTGAGCTGCTCCTGCCTTTGGGGGCGCCTCCTTTTTCCTCCGCACAGCCCCCCTGGCCCCTCTCAGCAGGGTGGGGGCAGTGCTGGATGCAGAGGGGGTGAAGGAGACCCCACAGCCTGACCCCATCCCTGGGATCTTCCCAGTGTGGACTGGGAGAGGCAGAGCCCAATTTCTGCCATTGCTGGTTGTGCTGGGCAGGGGCTGAGCGGCCAAATTTCAGCTGGGGAGGGGAGAATTGCCCCCAAAAGTGCTGCCCTGGTGCTCCACAGGCCCATCCAGAGCTGGCAGTGCCTGGCACACACCGAGGGAAAGCACCGGGAATCTCCATCAAACCCAGTCCTGACGGTGCTGGGAGGGCTCAGGAAACTGGGGGAGCCGTTTCTGGGCTGCCCCTGGCTTTGGGGGCTCCTCTTTTTCCTCCCCCTGGCCCCTCTCATTGGGGTGGGTGCAGGGGAAGCTCGGGGGGTGCAGAGAGGGGCTGAAGGTGACCCCACAGCCTGCCCCCCTCCCTGGGGTGGGGGATTCACTCCGGGGGGATGAAGGCTCCGCGTCCATCCCCTTGGCCATCATGTGGCCCAGCTCAGGAGGCTCCCGGCGCCCTCTTTGCTCTTCATCCTCAGCGGCACCAGCGGGGGCGCTTTGTACTCGTGCTGGGCGGGCTCGAAGGGGTGGGGGAGACCCGGGGGGGGCAGCCCGGGCAGGGGGTACAGGCTGTTGATGCCCGGGGATGCAGGGATGCCCACGAAGCCATTGCTGGCAGCGGGGGGGTACGGGGACATGCAGGGCGACGGGATGGGCTCGGGGGGCAGCAGCCCCGGGGGGCTCCCAGGGCTCGGCCACAGGTTGTTCTGCAGCTGGAATAACAACAAAAAGGCCAAAATGAAGGTGGGGACATCACAGCCCGATCAGTTTCCCCCCATTCTGCTTTAGATCCCAATGCCTCCCTTCAGGATAACTCTTATCCCACCCCTGTAGGATTCCCCTCAGGGTGAAAAGGGAGCGATGCTTTGCTGTTTTCTGCCCTTGGGGGGGTGAATCGTGCTCGAATTATTCCCCCCCCCCGGGAGAATCTGGCTTCAGGGATGTGCATGAAGATGAGTTTTAAATTATTTTTATGCTTTTTGATACTGAGGGGGAAAATGAAGCTTTGCAGAAAAGGGGGGCAGGAAGCACAGATGGATGAGAGCTAAAGGGGGTCTTCAGGAGGAGCACCCCAAAACCTGCCCCAGAGGGAGATGGAGTGGGACATAAAGCAGCATGTGGCAAAATATGATCTTCCCTCTTTTCCATCCCGGGCTGAACTTCCAAAGGTGGGAAAAATGGAGGGGAGAAGGGGCAGGGATGGGAATGTGGGGAAAGCAGGAATGGGTGACGTGGGGTAAAAGGGGCAGGAATGGGTGATGTGGGGCAGAAAGGGCAGGAATGGGTGATGTGGGGTAAAAGGGGCAGGAATGAGTGATGTGGGGCAGAAAGGGCAGGAATGGGAATGTGGGGCACCCGCAGGTGCTTTGGCGGGACCCCTCCCCTGGGAATGGGGGCACCCAGGGTTGCAGCAGCTCCCGAGCCATCTCTCTCTCTCTCTCACCTCCTGGATTTTCCCATAGCGTTCCCGTTTCCGCCACTTGGCCCGGCGGTTCTGGAACCAAACCTGGGGATGGAGGAGGGGGCTGAGGTGTGGGGATGTGGGGACCCTTCCCCTGCTCACTGCAGCTCCTGCCGAGCTCTGTGCTCCTCCCAGGGCCGGGAGGGGCCGGGCACGGTGCCCCAGAGCCGGAGCCGAGCAAGGGAAGCTGCTCTGTGCTCAGCGCTGGAGCTCTCTGACCAACACCGGGATTATCTCGTCCCGCACAAAAAATGATCCTTCCTGCTCCCTTTTCCCCTCCCTGCTGCTTCTGGGACTTGTTTATCCCAGATTTTGCTGCAGAATGAGGCTTTTTGGCTGCTGATGTTCCATCTGCATGTCCCCTCTGTGCTGGGGTGGGGACAACTCCAGCATCCCCTCCCGGAGAGGAGGATGCTCACCGGGATACCTGGCTTGACACTCATGGCTATGGGTGGTTTCATCTCAATCCACCCCAAGTCTGGGTTTGGAGGCTCCTGGGGACACTTCCAGCCCACTTTTGGTGGGTTCCTGGGGACACTCCCCCTGCCTGTGCCTTGCTCCTGCTCCTGGGGATGGCAGCTCCCTGCTCACTCCCTTACCCTCCTCCTCCATTCCCTCCCTGCTGGGAGCTTCCTCCAGCTGCCTCCTCCCACCTGGAGCCTCAAACGCCACGGGGACAGCAGAGCTGGGGAGGGAGGGTCGGTGTCACCCTGCCCCAGGTCCAGGATGTGCCACCCCAGCCCCAGTCCCACCCACGGGAGCTCCTGAGGTTCCTCTCCTGAAGAGCTGAGCTGGGAATGATGGATTCATGGGGGGCATCACGATGAGGGCATTCTGAGCGGGGGGGAGGGGGAGTGGTTGACACTGACCTCCCAAATTTTGGCTCTTTCCACCCTTTGGGTCCAGGGAGAAAGTGCAAAGGGCTCTGAGACGACCAACACCCAACCACAGCAGAGCGTGCAGAGCCTGAGATGATTTTCCATCTGGGATTTGCATTTTCATGGGAAATCAGCTTCTATCTCAGCACCACCTTGCAGAGAGGAGAACCCCCCTCCTGGCAGCCCCAGGGTGCCCATGCCCATCCCTCTGTGCCCATACCTGCACCCTGGCCTCGGTCAGGTCCGTGCGCAGTGCCAGCTGCTCCCGGGCGTACACGTCAGGATAATGTGTCTTCTGGAAAACCTTCTCCAGCTCCTCCAGCTGGAACGTGCTGAAGGTCGTCCTGTTCCTCCTCTTCTTGCTCTTGCTCTTGCCCAGGGGCTCGGGGAGCTCAGGGATGCCATAATCCCTGAGGCTGCCCAGGGGTGCTGCCAGCGGGCACCCCAAGTCCTCCGGGGCCTTTGGGGGGACCCTGCAGGCTGTGGGAATGGCCTGGAACCCACCTTTGCAGCCCTTCTCACCTGGGGGGGAGAGGCACAGCACCAGGGGGTGTTAGCAGTGCCAAGGAAACTCAGAACTGTCTGTGCCACAGCCCTGGCATCCCACTCCATGCCATCCCATCCCATCCCATCCCATCCCATCCCGTCCCAGGGAATGTCACAGTAGTGTCCCAGGAGAAAGGGCTCAGCATGGACACACAGCAGGGCAAAAATCCATCCCCGAGAAGGGCAAAAATCCGTCCCTGACAAGGGCACAATCCCTCCCTGAGAAGCCAAAAATCCACCCCTGAGAACGGCAAAATCCATATCGGAGAAGGTCAAAAATCCGTCCCTGAGAAGGGCAAAATCCACGCTCACTGAGAAGGGCAAAAATCCAGCCCTGACCAAGGGCAAAATCCATCTCTGAGAAAGGGCAAAAATCCACCACTGAGAAGGGCAAAGTCTGTCCCTGAGAAGGGCAAAATTCCCCCCTGAGAAAGGCAAAAATCTGTCCCTGAGAAGGGCAAAAACCCATCCCCGAGAAGGGCAAAAATCCGACCCCGAGAAGGGCAAAATCTTTCCCTTAGAAGACAAAAATCCACCCCTGAGAAGGGCAAAATCCACGCTCACTGAGAAGGGCAAAATCTGCCCTGAGAAGGGCAAAAATCCATCCCTGAGAAGGAGCTGTGGGCAGGAAAAGCCTCTGGAGGGTGGGGAATCCTGTCTGGAGCAGTGGGTGCCCTTTGGGGTGCTCTGTGCTCCTGAGCCAGCCCTTCCCTGGAGCTGCAGCTCCCGGGAAAACTCTTGGAGTAAAAAATCCCACCCTGCTTTTTCTGCTGAACAAAACTCCCCTTCCTCACCCTCCTCTGGGACCAGAGCAAGAAATCTGGGGGGTCCCCCCTTCCCTTTGGTGCTGCTGCATCACTGGGGCAGATAATGGAGTAGGATCAAGGAGGAAAATTCCTGCCACATGTTTGGGGGCCACCTCTGTACCCCAGAGGGTCATTTGTCCCCACATGGGGACACCCAGAGCTTGGCAGCTCCAAAATCTCTGGGTGCTGTTGGGACCCCGATGGGTTGAGATAAGGAAAGGAGAAGTGAGCAGGGAATTGGCAGATGGGGAGGGGTGCCATGGGGTCCCCCATCTGCTGAGGGGTCACCTAGGGAAAGGACAACCTAAAATTGCTGGGTTTGCCCTGATCCCACCCCAATCACCAGCTGCAGATTTGGGGTTCCTGCAGGTGAAGCCTCATAGGGCCAGGAGGGGAAATGCCTCCTTTGGGATGGATCCTCCTCCCCACCACACCCCAGGAGAGCAGGGAAATGGGGTCCCCATCCCTGCAGAGCCACCCAAAGCAGCCCCAGCACGGCCTTTTCCAGCCTTTCACTTCAGATTTTTGGTTGTTTTCTAATTAAGGCAATTTGGAGGCTATGGAGCCGCCAAGCTCCGATCCAGCTGCTTTGAATTAATGAGGAATTGTAATTTGGGGGAGGTTTGGGGGGGTGATTGCTCCTGGTCCCTCTCAGTACCGACCTGTCTGGTCATGGATAAGGCAAAGGAATGAGGCTGAATTGCCATTTCCTCCCTGCTCTGGCCTCCAAACGGCTCAGCCGCTGGCCTGGAGGGTTTTAATGATTCAAAACCAAATCTCACCAAGGAGCAGACCCAAATATAACCAAAACTAAGGAAAAGTTGACCAAAATAAAATCCTGCTGCATAAAGCATCGAGTTTGGGTTTTTTCCCCCCTTTTTTCAAAGGCAACATGGCACATTTCCAAATGACCCACGGGTTTTGGCGTTGGAGACAAATAAATAAATAGCCAGAAAGAAGGAAAAGGCAGGAAGGAGCGGGATACAGGCACGAAGCTAAACAAACACAGCGGCACCGGGGGACAAAGGGAAGACACGGATATTTTTCAGATATATTTCTCCCACTCCTTCCTAAACTGACACCCCCTGAAAGATTTGGCGGCGCTGGGGAAGGCAGCAGCTGGGGAACAGCTGCACAATTCCTGGGGTAATGAGGAGGGGAAGGAACTCAAAAGGATCATTAGTGAAGGGATGGGGGCACGGAAAGGACTCCCAGGACCCTGAGGAAACACCCGAGGGTCGTCAGCATCCCCCCGCCGCGGCTGGAGTAGGTAAACGCTGCAGCGGGGCCCTCCCGGTGCGCCTGACGGCTTTTCCCGGCTTTTCGGGGCTTTTTCTACCTGTTCCCCGAGGCGGCTTTGCCGGGTCCCACCTGGTTCCCATCGGCCCTGCAGCTCTGCCTTTGGCTTTTTCTATTAAAGCAGAATGGGGGGAATAAAATTAAAGCGAAAGTGGAGCCCGGAGCAGCCCCCGACGGGCCCGGCCGGGAGAGCGCAAAGGAGCGGCGGGAGAAACCGGGAAGGGATTCGGTCCCGTCCGAGACTGGGGACGGCCACGGAGCCCCGGGACAGCCGGGCCGAGGGGAACCGGGAGCTCTGGAGCTCCGGGGAGAGCGGGGGAACCGGGAGAGCCGCAGCCCGGTACTGGGAACGAGAGCGGTGCTGCCACGGAGAGGGGCACCGAGAAACCGGGAGCGCTGGGGCTGCGGACCGGGCACCGGGCACACCGGGCAGCGCTGCCAGCCCCGCAGTCCGGCCTCCCGCAGGTCCCGGAGCCCCGGGCCCGTCCGTGCTGCCGCCGGTCCTGCCCGGGGGGCTCCGGGAAGCGGAGTCGGCGGCCGGACGCGACTTTGCAGCCTCCTCCGGGAGCGCGGCCGTTCTCCATCCCCGGGAACGGGGACCGGGCCGTTCTCCATCCCCGGGAACGGGGACCGGGCCGTTCTCCATCCCGGGAACGGGGAACCGGGCCGTTCTCCATCCCCGGGAACGGGGACCGGGCCGTTCTCCATCCCGGGAACGGGGAACCGGGCCGTTCTCCATCCCGGGAACGGGGACCCGCCGTTCCCCACCCCGGGCCGGTCCCCGCCGTCGCGGCAGCCGGGCCGGATCTCTCCCGCCGCTTTTTCTCCCCCCTTTCCTCCTTGTTTATGGAGAACGGGAACAGTCCGGACACCCCGGTCTCTGTCGCGACACAGCCCCACTGGCCCTCCCCTGCTCCGGCTTCCGTCGGGGGACGCCCTGGTTGTCCCCGACGGGGTCATATCGCGACATCGCCGCCTCGGAGCAGTGACAATGCAATGTCACCACCTCAGCGCAATGACACCCTCGGGTGGGGGTCAGGGCTGGGGTCCCTGCGGAACCGAGAGGGGGAAGAGAAGCAGAAGGGGCCGGCAGGGGTCGGCAGCCCCGGCCCCCCCATCCACCCGCGGCTCCCCGGTACCTGCAGCCCCGGGCGGGTACAGCGGCTTCCCATGCACGGCCACGGCAGGCGGACCCGGGCTGGGCACCCCCGGGTACCGCGGGCAGCGGCCGGGCCGGGGGCTGAGCGGCGGCGGCCGCCGGTGGGGCCCCGGAGCGCCGAGCGCGAAGGCGGAGGGAGGCCGGGGGAGCCCCGGGGGAGCCCCGGGCCGGCGAGGCGGGGGGAAGGCCGGGCAGCCCGGTGTGTCCATGGCGCGGGACGGAGGGGACGGGGACGCTCCGCGGGAGCGGATTTTGTGCGGGGCACCGGGGATGGGGGGGGTGATGGGGAGGGAGGGATCGCCCGCAGCCCCCCCAGCCCGCACACCCCCAGCCCCCCGCCGGTCACGTGCGGCTCCGGGTTAACCCTCTAATCCCAAACCCCGCCCTGCCGGGGACGCTGTCCCGCGCGGGTCACATCCCCGGGGCAGGGGCTGCAGGGCCAGCCGTGCCCCCTCCCTGCTCTCCCAGCTCCACCACACACCCAGGGCTCTTCTGTGATCCCAAACTCCATCCCTCACTGCTGATAGCAGCAAGAAGTACCAGGCAGGGGAGAAACTTCCATTTTCCTGATGCTCCCTGGGTTTATTTTCCCCTTTACAAGCTCTACAGAGTCCCTTTGCAGCCTTTCCCTGCCCAAAACCAAAGCCAGGCCTGGGTCAGGCTGGTTCAGGGGTGATGGTGGCCCTGCGATAAGGGATGCGAGGGTGATGGTGGCTCCAGGACATGGAAGCCAGGATCCCACAGTGTCCCTGGATCCCACAGTGTCCCTGGAGCTGGCCCTGCTGTGCCTGGTGGCTCCCAGCACCAAGGGGGTCCCCCCTGCTCCCCCTGTGTCCCTGCTGGTGTTTCCACCCCCAGGGTTTGGATCCCCTCATCCCAGCTTGGGTCTGGCTTTGGCATCAGGCACTGGGGTGGATCAGAGCTTGGATTTCTCTATCCTCCCCTTTTCTGCATTTTGCTCCTCTGCTCGCCAGGGCTGGAGGAACAAAATGCAGAAAAGGGGGAGATAAAGTTCCAGACTGGGGAATGATACAGCTTTGGGGGTGTTTGTCTGCAAAATGAGGGGAAAGATCTGGAATTCAAAGATTTGGAGACGGAACTAAATAAGGGGCCTGGAGAACTAAGTGGAAATCTGAGGGGTGAAGTTTTATCTCTTCATTTGATGTTTTTCAACACTTTCAGTTCATTCTTGGGCACCACTCCTTGCTCCAGGTGTATGAAAAAATAACCTGCAGGTGTGAGAGGTTATGAGAGCAGCAAAAGGAGGTGGAGAGGAGCCCAGAGGATCCCAGATGTGAGATAGCAGAACAAGGGGATAACACTGACCATAAATAACATTAATGCTCTCATTGCTGCTGCCAGGGCAGGACTTTGTTACCCAGGCACGGTGAAAATCTGGAATCACGAGAAAATCTCATTTCAAAGAGTTTCTGCTGTAAATGTCACCCCTGTGTCTTGGCAGGGGTTGATGTGTTGTTTGGTCATTGGAAAGCTGTTGTTGCTGCAGGAGTGGTGGATTTGTGGTTTAAATCACAGCTGCATTTCCCAGCCCTGCTCAGGGAAACTGAATTTGTGAGAAATGCTGTGCTGTGATCCTGCACCCAAAATTATTCCCTCAGAATCTTGTGAGGGGCTGGCTCTGCACAGAGGGGTCTGAGCAGGCAATGCCCCCTCTTTAAACATTATTAGATTTAAACCAGTATCCAAACAACCTTTTTTTATTTGCCACTGCTGGATAAAATTCCAAGTTTTTACAAATGAACGTAGTGGCCTTTCGAGGAGCTGCAGGAATAAATCAGTTTAAACCCCTTGGGCTGCTTTAAAAGAGGATTTGGCTCCTTCCTAGCAGAGTGGGCACCCATTTAATGCCCACAATGCTCCCTGGGCATCCCAAGCCATCCCTGACACTTTCCCTTTGCAGCAGCTGGAGCTGCCAGGATTTTCCCTGTTCCACTGTCCACAGCTCACAGGGTGCTGTAAATTATGGCTAAACAGGGACTGGGAGGCCTCTGGCTCACACCAGGTCATTAAATATTATTAAACATAACATAACTCCTGGAAAGGCTTATTAGTTTTTAAGGTTGGTCTCCCAGTTTTACTGCTGGCACTTAAAGGATTTTAATGGCAGAGGGATGAGTCTATCCACAGGCTGGTTTAGGGGGTGCTGCTTTTCCAGGCTCCAGAGATTGCTGGGACCCTCCTGGGCAAGTGGAGAGCTCTTGGGCAGGTGGGGTTTGGGGTGTTTGGCGCTGAAGGCAGCACAAGGCTTGTGAGATTTTAGGGGATTTGTGTTGGTTCCTGGAGCTGCTGAGGAATTTGGTTCTTCCAGTGGGCAGGACGAGGATCAGGACCACCAGGATCTCCTTCTGAACCTGCCCCCAGCCCTCTGCCCTGTTCTGCAGAGCCAGAGCAGGGTTCCTCATTCTCCTGGGTTTGGGCATGTTTCTGGTGGGTGCTTTGGGATCAGGGAAAGGCTGAGAAGTGCTGCCCCTTGGTGCCAGCATGGGACTGACTGCAGCAGGGAACTCCCTGTGCTGCTCCTGATGCTCTCTGGGGTTCATTTTCTATGGATCAGAGCTTATTTTTGGGCAAAGAATGATCCCACCAGCTTTAAAAGCTTCCAGGAGAAACTTTGCACAACGTCAGAGAGTCCAGCTCCATCTCCGTAAGGGGAAGAGCTGCTGGGTTGGTTCTTGCATGGAAATGACCTTTTGTCAGTTTTAATTAATGACCTTTTGTGGCCCAGTTTTAATTAATGACCTCTTGTGTCCCAGTTTTAATGGGATCTTCCACCAAGTGATCCTCACCAGAGAGCCACCAAGAGAGGCAGGAGGACTCTGATGGGATCCTCTGTGGGGAAAAGCTGGTTTTGCTTTGTTTCCTGCTCGCTGGGAGGATTTCCCCCTCCCTTTTTGCATCCCTTTTGCTTTCCCTCTGTCTCCAGCCATCCCTGAGCGCTCCTCTCCTCCCCTGGGAAGAGAAGAGCTCTGCAGGGCTCTGTGGTTTGGAGGAACATCCATCCCTCCCCAGCCAAGGCTCCATAGCATTCCCTGAGCCCCAGGAATGCTGGGGGTGATGGAGCCATGCCCGGTGCTCCTGCTCCTTCCCCAAAGTCACATTTCCCTCCCAGCCCGTGGCTCAGCCAGGGGAGATGAGGACATCCAGGTCCAGATTTTCCTCAAGGGCAGTTGGGTTTTATTTATGGACTAAAGCCCATTCCTGGGAGGCTGCGGAGGAAAAGCTCTGGAAAGGAAGATTTCTGTCATATTCACATTGCTTCTAATCCTACTTAGGACTCTTTAAAAGTTAAAAGGTTGTCTAGGGTGTTCAGGGCATCTGCAGCAATTATAATATTTAAATAATAATTTTTAAAAAGGAATAATTGTATAAGGATATGAATGAAACCTTTGGAGGGGTCTTGCAGCGTTTCCCAAGTTGCCGTTTTCCCAAGCTCGGCTCAGCGTGGCCGTGTGTGACACAGGAGCTTCAGGGTGGTGGCAGAAGGGACAGTCTGGGGACAGCTGTCCAGAGGGTGATCAGGCACTGCAGGCCCCTCCCTGCTGCAGCATTCCCGGCTCTGCTGGGTGTTTCCTGGCCCAGCTTGGAGGACGATCTCCAGCTCTGCTGCTCCTCTCAACCCCAGGCAAAACAAATCCCTGTTTCTTCTCAGCCTGGGGAAGCACCATGTGTGGGCAAAGGGATCTGGAACAGCACCACAAAGGCCATTCCCTCTGTCCTTTAAGGGATGGGCATTTGGGGGATGCCTGTGGGCTCCTTCCCTGCCTGAGGAAGATGTGGGATTCAGCCAGGATTCAGCCAGGGGCATGGTCCTGCTCCTCTGCTGTTGTCCCAAGACTGGAGTTCTCCAGGAGCTTCTCCTGCTTCCCAGAGGGATCCATCCCCAAAGAGATCCATCCCCAAAGAGATCCATATATGAGGGGATCCATCCCCAAAGGGATCCATCCCCAAAGGGATCCATCCCCAAGAGATCCATCCCCAGGGAGATCCATATCTAAGAGGATCCATCCCCAGGGGGATCCATCTCCCCAGGGAGATCCTTATGTGAGGGGATCCATCCCCAGGGAGAATCCATCCCCAGGGAGATCCATATCTAAGAGGATCCATCCCCAGGGGGATGCACCTCTTGGGGTTCCAGTGGGATCCCTGCTTTGTCTGGGCAGATCTCAGCCCCTCTCAGTTCTGGGGACAACAATCCTGTGCCCCTCTCTGTCCCAGGACACCCATCCCTGTCCCTCTCTGTCCCAGGACACCCATCCCTGTCCCAGGGACACCCCTCCTGGGGCACTAAAAGGAATCTCTGCCCTTCCTTAGGTTTGTTTTTCCCTAATCCTCAGTCCACATCCCTCTCCACCTCACAAAGATCCCCAACCCCTCTGATCCTGGTTTCCAGCTCACTGCAGAGCGTCATCCCAAGCCACCACTGGGTTTTGTCAGGAGTGTTCATGTTGGTGGCAGGAAAAATTACTGAATTCCCCGAGGAAATAATAAAGTGATTTTTATATGTATTTTATATCGAGAGAAATAAAATCCCTTGCTGGTCACAAGGCTGTTTTGGGTGAGGGAGTGGGAGCTGGGGCTGGAAACCCCTCAGGATCCCAGATCCAGGCTGGATTTGTTGTTTTCTGAGGCTGACGATGCAGGGAACGATCCTGACTCCAAAAAAGCCAAAGTACAAACACAAATATCCACCCACGAGGAATCACCATGCCCCTGGGTCACACACTTGTTTTACAGGCATGTGGATAGGTTTGGAGATGTAACTTAGATATAAATTAAATATTTGTGTTATGTTATAAAATACATTAATCCAATATATTAATATTAGCTCTAAATATTATATATTTCACATAATATTATATATTATATATTATATAGTATATATTATATATTATATATTATATTTTATAAATAGTAGAGTATATAATATATAAATATAATATATATAATATGTATTAACATAATATAATATAATATAGGTATAATATATATAATATAATTAGTAGAGTATATATAAGTATATAAAGTATACTATATAGTATATTATATAAATAGTATATTATAAATATATAATATAAAATGTATAAATAGTATTGTATATATATGTAAAATAGTATATATTTGGTATAAATCAGTGTAGATTGTAAATTATTATACATACCATATATATATATTTTAAATTATTATTAAC